GGGTCTAGGGTTGAAGGGTTTAGGGTCTAGGGTTTAAAGGTTTAGGGTGTAGGGTCTAGGGTCTAAGGGTTTAGGGTCCCTTTTATAGGGGTTGGCTGGATTCTAGGAGCGTTCTGTCAGGAACCCTAAACTAAGCCTTAAGCCCTACAGTTTAGGGGTCAGGGCTTCTTTCTATTTTGGGGCTTGACACCGGCGGAGGGTGGCCTACTTGGGGTGTGACAGGTTCTAATCTAGGGACCTAAATAATTACCAATAGTTTTTTTGGGAGGCTCCTTATTATATGTATAATATAATGCACCCCGACACCCTATTCTAATTATAAAGGCCCCTACCCTAAACCCTTACTATAGAAACCCTTATAGTAACCCTTTAAAGGACCCGTAATAAAAGGAACCCTATTCTAGTTCGTATAAGGCCCCTATGTTAGGCTGGCCTGCCGGGGGACGATGGGTCGTAAGTTAAAGCCATGCCATGAGTCCACTTAATACGCCAGGGGTCCCAGTTGCACTAAGCCTTAAGGGTCCATGGAGCCGAATAGTATATACTTTGGCCTTAAAGTAGTCCCTATATAGGTACTTTGGAGCCAAAGTATATACTGTTTGGGCACATGGACCCTTAAGACAAACATCATACTATTCAAGGTGTTGTTGTTTTGTTTTGCGAGGCCTTTGGCGTTCCTTTCCACATACCTGAAGGGCCCTAGGCCCTAAGCCAAACCCTAAACTCTTGTGCGGGTGTTGAACCCCAAGATCACGCCTTGGCCTTCGACGGACGGAAGCCGAGGAACCCCCGTTTCGAAACCCTGGGAACCATGAATCAATGAAGTGCAGCGCCCTCAATATCTCCAGAACTCAAGACTATATGGGAGTTTCCGAAAACAAGGCTGGTTAACCTTTTTTCGGAACCCCCCTTTGATCATACTACCAAAAGGCCCCCAACCCTGTTTTAATTGCCAACGCCCATATGGTATGAGTTTTGCCGTGGGTTTCTTTGGGGCACTTCAGGGTTTCCTGTTCATGGCTCAAAGCCACCACAAAATCATTTGCGGCAAGCCGCGCTAACAGGACCTAATAAGGCCCGAATATACAGAAGACACTTTCTCAACCGATCCATCCACCGTCCCCAAAACGCTACAACCGCCAAGCCCTACACACCGAACACCGCTAACACACACCCTAAACCCTAAAACCTAAACCCTGAACCCTGAACCCTGAACCCTAAACCCTGAACCCTTAACCCTGAACCCTAGACCCTAATCCCTAAACCCTCAACCCTGAAACCTAAACCCTGAACCCTGAACCCTAAACCCTGAACCCTTAACCCTAAACCCTGAACCCTGAACCCTAAACCCTGAACCCTGAACCCTAAACCCTAATCCAAAACAGACAGGAAGCGTCTAGGATCCTCGTTCCCCGAAGCTCCGCAAGTTGCAGGAGAAGCTAAACTCCTTAACCCCTAACCCCTTAACCCTAAACCCTAAATCCCTAAACTCCTTAACCCCTAAACCCCTTAACCCTAAACCCTAAACCTTAATCCAAAACAGACCAGGAGAAGCCCGGTTATCAGTCGGCTGCAGGCTGGGCCTTAGGGTTTTAGCCCTGAATGTAGGGGCCTTATAAGAATTAGAACAGGGTTCCTTTTATTGGTGGTCCTTTAAAGGGTTACTATAAGGGTTTCTATAATAAGGGTTTAGGGTAGGGGCTTTAGAAATTAGAATAGGTTTTTTTTGGGGTTCCTTATAATTATGATTATGGTATAATATACCCCCTAAACCCTATTCTAACTACTAAGTCCCCCATATACATACATACATATATATATATATATATGTATATATATATATATATGTATATATATTTTGTGTTTCTGTGTTGGTGGTTTTCTGTTGTTGGTTTGTGGGCAGCAATGGGCTTGGGTCCGCAGCAGATTGGGAGTCTAATACAGAGGCCTGAATAGTTGCCCATATTATTCTTACGGTTCCTTACTATGAACATACTATAAAGGAGCCCCAAACCCTGTTCGAATTATTAAGGACCCGACGTTAGGTTGTTTGCGGTTCCGAGTTGAAATTCTACCCTCAAGGTCCATGCACCCAAATAGCATACACTTTGGCCTTAATGTAGTCCCTATATACCCTAAACCCTAAACCCTAAACCCTAAACCCCCTATATAGGTACTAGGGCCAATGTTCAACTATTTGGGCACATGGACTCTTAGGGTTAGGGACTCCTTAGTTAGCCAATAACCAACCTTTAAAAACTTTTTGGGTTCTTATTTTTTAGTAGCAACCTGAAGGTTTAGGGTTTAGGGTTTAGGGTTTAGGGTTTAGGATTTTTCCTGGCTTATTGGGCAAGTATTATTAGGCTGGCGGTTTACTGACCAGATAGTTTCAAATTTATGGTGGGGGCAACCCTGAACCCTTAGCCCTATGATGGTGCGGGCGGATCTAACTTATGGTTCCGTTCTGCTTTTCCTCTTTCCTGGTAAGACAAGCACTCTTACGACAAGAAGTACCTTCAAAAACGGTTGAGGGTTTAGGGTTTAGGGTTTAGGGTTTAGGGTTTGGGGCCTAGGTCCTCAACCCTCATCGGAAGCACATGTCGCTTCCATTGCCTTGCTTGGGGTTTGGGGTTGAGGGCTTGCTGGGATGGCTTCTGTGACGACGCCCTTTTTGGGCAGAGAGAACCCTTAGGGTCCATATTCCCAAAAATAGTATATACTTTGGCCTTACAGTAGTCTCTATAGAGGTACTTTGGGGCCAAAGTATATATTATTTGGGTACATGGCCCCTTAGGGGAACATAAACGATATCAGTCCGAAGCCCTGAAGCCGAACCCCCAAAAGCCGCAAAGCCTAAACTCCACAGATTGAAAGCTAGAGCCTGCACGTGAATGATCAGCCCAAGCACAGGCCCGAAAACCCTAAGCCCTAAACTCTGAACCCTGAACCCTAAACTTTGGCCCTAAACCCTAAACCCTAAACCCTAAACCCTTAAGCCAAAGCCCTAGACCCTGAACCCTACAACACTCTTCAACTCTCAGCTGCAGCACGATAACCCTAAGGGTCCAAGTACCTAATAACCATATACTCTCCCAAATAGTAACCTACATAACTACCATCCGAAACCTAAGTACCTGATTATTGGGTCCTTTGGACCCTTGGGGTACTGATGAAGCCCTTAAACCAGACAACCCTGAACCCTTGAAGCCCTAAGCCCTTTGGGTTTAGGCTTTAATGTAGGGGCCGAAATAACTACCAAAAACTATTTTGGTGGTTCCTTATTATGATTATAGTATAATGGGCTTAAATAATTACCAAAAACTATTTGTGGGTTCCTTATTATGATTATAGTATAATGTGCCTCAAAACCTTATTCTAATTATTAAGGCCCCTACGTCAGGCTGGAGGGTTTTGGCTACAGCCCTAGCCGACAGCTTGCATTTGGCTTTCCGCCATAGTGGAGACCACCCCGCTGCAGTGCTCTCGCCCTTTGGCAGAGGTTGGCAGGGGAGGGTGTCACGCAGAGTGATTGATACTTGAAGTAAGGGTTAGTGCTCAAACTGGAGGGTTTCGTAGCAAGGCTTAAAGCTAAATTCCTTCTCAAAGGGGAATTGAATTGCGGCGCGGGTGTCAAGTTTAGGGGTCTAGGGTTTGGGGCGTGGGGTTTAGAGTATATTTCGCAGAGAAGTCATAAGCTAAAACCATGCGTGTTTGGGCCTGCGGCTGATGGCTTCCGCTACCCTCACGAATGAGGTCTTGGGCCCTTTCTATGAGACGTACACTTATCAGAAACCTTCATAGAAACTTCTTTAATCGGTACAGAAGCCCCGTTAGAATCCCTCTTTGAAACTGAGGACCTACAGACTCATGACTTTGGGCGCGCAACAGCTGGTTATGCAAAATGTGGACAGGTCCTGCTGAGGAGTCAATATTCCAACTTTACGTCCGGGCGTCTATCTTAGGATTTGTCGGTTTTTGTTAGTTCTTACTCTGCTTCGGAGGAAAGATTGGATTTCCTGTAAACCCTAAACCCTAAAC